CACACACACACACACACACACACACACACACACACAGTTAACCTACAGTAAATATCAGAGTCTGACCCAAATCAATGAAACTAAAGGAATGCACGTCACCCGCTGGCGGCCATCTTGAATTATGTTTAGTTAAAGCCACTGGTTGAAAAATAAAAATCATAAAAACATGGACAAACTCTCTGCATCGTACCGACGGCCGTGTCCTTAAATTCAAGTTTTGTGTGAAAATGAGATTTCTTCCTGACAGCTGTCTGTCAGCAGACAGATTTTAATCTGAACATCATCTCAGGGATTATAAACCCGTCTGCTTCCTGCTCAACTTCAGTCTGACTCTGAACGACCCGAGATTGGTTAGAAGAGCCGAAACTTTTTATTTAACAACAGAAACTAAAAGTAGCAAAATATCAGCTGAAGTCTAGCTGACGGCTAAAAGAAGCAAAAGGCTAGGTAAAAGTAGCAGAACATTAGCATGTTGGCACATTGATTCAGCGTTTTATTGTTCTTCTGTACATTTTAAATATATTTTCCTGTAAATTATCAGCAGAGCTTCAAATGAACAGGTTTTTCTAAATGACCTAATCTGACTGTAATTTGGGATTAAAATGTAATTTTTCTTCATGAATAAAAAAACGCTTAAAAATAGTTAAGTTTTATTCTTATTTAAGGAATAAATAAAGAGTTTTACTGTAATAAATATATTTAAGCTCATCAGTAGTTTCATCAGTTTCTGTCAGACCAGGTCCTCAGAGGGTCCAGACTGATCCGGACCAGGGAGGAACATTAACGCACAGAGAAGAGGAGAATCAGCTCTGCCTGCCCTCTGGAGCCCACCGCAGCCTCCTCTGATTGGACCACCATGACATCATCAGACCCACTGCTCGCTGCCATTGGCTGGAGGTGATGTCATCATTCTGAGGAAGGATAAATACATCCCTGGCCCCGCCTCCAGCTCCTTGAGGCTGACTGGGCTCTGCATCATCGTCTCTTTGTTTACAGTTTTCATGACCTCGCTGCTTTTATCTCCTCCGTCCCGTTTGGAGCAGAACCTCTAAAACAAAGATTATCTGCAGCTCCCACCAGGTTCTGATCTCAGGAGGTTCTGCAGCGCGCTGAGGTCGGACGGTGAAGCTGCAGAACCTGGACCTGAATGTAAACGAGCTGAGGATTTTCAGGCAGAACAATAAAAGTTGGTGCCGACTGAAGGAACAGGCTGTTCTGACCCGCTCAGCAGCTGAGACGGGTCAGAACAGTTAAAGGTTAAAGGTTCTCCTTAGAACCTTTAAAATCAAACAGAAAACGTGACTCATTCACTCCACTGGTTTATCAGATATAAATATATGCAGTTCTAATACGTGGGTCTGCATTCAGTGTAAACAAAGCACGTCTGGATAAAAACCATGTTGATGACTGAGTCATGTGACTGACTTATTAAAGTGTCTGTGACACGCCTTTCCTTCAGTGTAAAACACGTAATTTAACCCATTTTGTCCCATAAATGGCAGATTTTCCTTTGAACTTGGCTCAGTCAAAGTGAAACAGGAAGTGACATCATAGGGAAACTTTTTAAGAAAGAAAACTCTCCGGTCTTTGTTTATTAAAACAACATTATTTGAACTCTGACTCTTCATCTGTTTCTTAGAGGAACTAAAATCATGTAAAGAAACATCAGGAGATTCCCTGCTGTTAGCTGTTGTAACAACGCTCTGCTCAGATGCAGACACTCCCCTGTGACATCACTTCCTGTTTCTTCACAGGCAAATATCTCAACAACCGTTCATCGCAGCGGTGTGAAATTTGTTTTGCAACATATTATCAATGTTATCTTTCCAAAAATACATTCATATTTATCACAAAAACTTGACGTCACAGGCACTTTAAAGGACTGATGGGAGAACAGTCAAAATAAAATCATTAAAAAGTAAAAAAACTGAGACTTTTCAGCTGAAGTTTCACTGAGTTCTGAGTTTATGATCGAGTCATGTGATCAACCATTTGAGCGGTCGGTGTTTTAAAATCACAGCTTTCTTCATGAACATCGTTTTGTTTTCCAGCCCAGAAATAAAGACAGGCAGGTCCAGACCAGTTTGTCTACATTCGTTCTTGTCGATGTGGTTTTTAGACCTTGGACTTTTCTCTGTTTTCTGTCAAGAATAAAATAATAAAGTCTGGAGTGGCTCAGACGGGTCAGACAACAAGAGACAGACAGGTTCTGATACTTCAGCTGTTCAAATGTAAAGAAGCAGACTGCACAGCTCTGAAACTACAGCCAGGAGACATGGACCAGGACTCTGCTGGTCACAGACCCTCAGTCCAGACAGATGTAGTCCAGCTGAGGGTAAACACAACCTGTCAGGTCACTTCCTGTTTCCTGTTTCTGCTCACAACGCTTTAATTTAAGGACACATGACCCTCAGCTCGAACTGGAACCCTGAGTGTTTCTGAACATTGGAGCAGAACTTCTTCAGAACCTTCATGTGGACCGGGTCCAGGACACTAACCTGCAGCTGTCCCCGTCTGAGTCTTTGTTCAGCAGACTCTTCAGAGACCAACGAGACCTCCGGCTGGGGGAGGGGCTGCGGGACCAGGAGCGGGCCGGCGGCAGGAGGAGGTCGTGTGACGGACCGTCCTCGTCCTGTCCTCCCTCTGTCCCAGAGGGCGAGGGGCCGCGCTGCAGAACCAGACCCCCGTCCGCGGACCCCTTCACTACGATCTGTGGAGTCAGAGCCTCCTGTGGGTCAGAACCGCAAACCCGCTCCCCTCCGTTCCGACTCTTGGTCCGGGTCCTGCTGCAGTGGGACCGGTTGAGGCAGCCGGAGCGTGACGGTCGGGGGCTCGGGGAGCAGGACCAGGACTCGGTGTCCGAGGATGGCGGCAGGACGGTCAGCGTTGGGACGGGCTGAGCCAGAGGGAAACTCTCTGGTCTCACAGGAGAAGACATGGTCATCCTCTGAAAAGGTCCACACCTTCAGGGTCAGAACCAGACCTGAGTCTGACTCGTTAACATGACGCTCCTGACATGAAGAGAAGACCGACTCGGTCTGACGGAGCAGCCTCACTTCCTGTGAGGTAAAACCAGCTGTTGACACACGCCAAGAGTTTCACAACAGACCAGGGCGGTCCTCCACACCGATGGACAGACTTTCAGACGCTCGGTGAGTGAAAACGTCCCGTCGTGCCTCAGACGTGGTTCTGCTCGCTCCCATCCACCTCACAGCTGGAACCAGATGTGAGTCTGCAGGTTCCTACCTGAGTGGAGAGAGCAGAGACTCTGCATTCAAACGGCCGGCCCACCTGAGCCAAACGGCCGGCCCACCTGAACGTCTACAGATGGTCAGATTAGTTCTGGGGACACGAGGCGTCATGTGACTGTGTTCCTGTTACACAGGTGATCGATTGGATTGATTTAAAGTAACTGGTTTTATGTTCCCTGTGTTCCTTTGGTAACATTAGACTTTATTTGATAAACATATATTTTAACTGTAAAATAAAGACTGTAAAAATACTGTAGGATGTTTAGTTTTGATCATTTAAAAAATATATTTTAACACAGACGGAGCCATTTTATGTACACACAAAGCATTCTGGGTAAACGATGACGTGGATAGGTCCTCGGTGCGAGGCTGCTAGCGAGCTATATCCACCCTGAAGGTTAATGTTGGACAATATCTGATGATCGACTCTTTTAAATGAAACCAGAGAGCGTTGACAGAGAGGAGAAGGTAGAAATGACTCAGCCTGGAACTGAAAATATGGATGGAGGACCAAAGTTTAGCTTGTTTGTGGCACTAGCTCCAAGCTAACACATATAAGGCAATATAGTGTCGGCACTAGTGTAAAAGCTAACAGGCTAAGCTGAGGTTCTTCCATGAAGCAGCTCTGTTGTCCTCCATCCATATTTTCAGTTCCAGGCTGAGTCATTTCTACCTTCTCCTCTCTGTCAACGCTCTCTGGTTTCATTTAAAAGAGTCGATCATCAGATATTGTCCAACATTAACCTTCAGGGTGGATATAGCTCGATAGCACCCTCGTGCCAATGACCTATCCCCTTCATCATTTACCCAGAATGCTTTGCACGTAAATAAAATGGCTCTGT